TGTAGGGATAAGTCCCACCCCTTAGGGGGCGTGTTCGCCTCAGGCTAAAGTTCTCCTATAAAATTGGTGAGCGTGCTCCCAGCGCTCTCTTCTGCTTTCCTGGTCTCCGCGGGAACAGTGGTTCTGTAAGTCTATTCCTCCATTAAAGCTGTCTATATTTTGACAATCTGTCTGCATTCGCTTACGCCGTTACACTTGGGGTTTTCAGAAATCATTTAGGTAGAATAACCTTATAATAAGAACAGAGTTACCATTATAATCAAGAGAAGGGCTTCAAAACATTTAACTGGAATTTTTTTTGTCTCTACAGATAAGCATGGCAGGCAACCGTGAGTGCGCAGATTTTTTGAGTCAAGTCTTACTGTGTAACCCTGGCTTGCCTGGAATTTACCAAATAAACCAGGCTGGCCTTGAACTCACAGAGGTCTTCATGTTTCTGCCTCTGAATTGCTGGGATTAAAAGGCATACACCACCATGTCAGGTCAGCCCGTGTTCATTTTGACAACCCACTCTCCCCCCCTCTTGTGACAAGAATAGAGCATCGTGACTGAGAGCTCACAGCTGCTATGCTGGTCTGCTCCGGTGTAAATGACTGTGTTCCCACAAAGTGACAGATGCAGAGGTCACGGGGTATCATCTGGGAGAACGAAGAGCATTGTAAGAGGCTACAGGAACCATGGTTGATACTTCCACCATATGAGCACATGGAGAAGATTCTGTCTGGAAAAAATGACACTTGGCGGACACTGCATCTTAGGTGCCTTGGTCCTGGACTTCCGGGCCTTCTGGAAAATGAGGACTGAAGCCATAACAAGCTTCTTCTGTTCACGCCAAAGCCACTGATCTACTTTGATGTCAAATATCTTCCCAAGGCCCATGTGTCAAAGCCTTGGTCCCAAAGGTAACAGTACTGGGAAACGATAGAACTGTTGAGAGACGGGGCCTAGGGGTCATCAGGTCGTTTGGGCAAGCCCTGAAAGGGAATTGAGGGTCCTCCCCTCTCTTTTCTTCCAGGCCAGGGAAGGAATGACTTTGTTCTGTCATACACTCCGGCTACTGTGCACTGCCTCACCATAGGACGGAAGCAGCAATGCCAGTGGGCACATCGGAAGAGCCATCTGCTCAAATGTATGTCAGACAGGAAAGTGGTCCCAAATGAATGATTCACAACATTCCTCACGGTGGGTTGAGATCCATGCTCAGGGAACGTCGATTGTGCGTTGGGAGATGGCAAGAATGAAGGATGGGAAAGCTGCGTGCGCGTGGATGAGCCGCTCGGCTCTGGGGAGACTTCTGGGTGTGAACCCCGGCTCTACCAACGCTCTCCGAATAATCTCGTCAGCTTTATATCCCCGTGTCTCCGTTTCTTCATCTGTAGAACGAGGGATAAAATGATTGCTTGCCATGCGCAGGGCCTTGAGGTTGAGCCTCAGCTCCCCACAGAATAGTGATAATTGATATAATTAATAGTAATAATGCTAATACTACTAATGACAGCAGCACTGACTCTGTAGGGTTGCTGTGTTAGCTTTCTGCGTCAGTCACTAAAATGTCTACCAGAGAAACGTCAACCAGTAGGGGAGGAGGGATTTTTTTGCTTAGTCCGAGAACGGCTCTTCCCATCCGCCTCAGTCCCCCCTTGCGGGAGCTCTCCTAGGCTGACTTCCGTCGAAATCCAAAAGCTCTCCCTGGGCCTTGATCCCCACAGTGTTTCTCTCCTTGTGTCTCTGTCTCCTCAAATCTCTCTCTGCCTCTGCCCCCTGGCTCTACTGACCCAGCGTCCAGTCAACAGCTCTCCTTCCCTCTGCGGCCATAACATCTTGGTTTTGATTTAGTTCCTGTCACAGCTTGAGAGGTTTACGATTCTAATACAGATGACCTTGATCGGGAAGCATGCCAGGTCTTCCTCTGCAGGCCAGGCTCATCGGCGGAGCTGCTCACTGACTCCCAGACCAGGGCTGAGCGAGGCAGCCGATGGCCGGGCACAGGACAGTGATGGTGGGCTGGAATCCTGGGAACACATGCTTTGGGATGTGGCCCCTGTTGTAAAGCTCCTAGCGGCTGCTCCTCATTGTCCACGAGACCAGCTCATTCTACAGGGAAAGAGCACTTGGTAGAAAGAACTGGAAATGGAGACGCATTTGCCAAGCACAATGAATCAATACCAGGATGTGAGGAAGCCCAGGACGGGGAGTGGAGATGCGTTATGAGGAAATGCGCCGTGTGGACGAAGTCCAGGGTAATCCCACTGGTCACTTGTAGTACTCCGTAAGCACTAAGTGCAGAAGTGCTCTTTGGGGCATTTCCCGGAGGCTAAGAGGAGGAACTACAGGATGTCCACGGGCTGGGGAGGCTCGGTGGCAAAGTGGTTGCCTAGGCAATGCAAGGCCCTGGATTCAAACCCCTACAGAAGGGGCTTGGGGACCCACAGCTTCATGGCAGAGTGCCCAGATACACCACTGGGAGTAAACAGGTCTCTTCAAGTGACCATAGGAAAGCCAGGCTCTGTGACACATGTCTGGAATCCCAGGCCTGGGAAGTTTGAGGCAAACTCCAGGCCACTCTGGGCTACAATGTGAGATCTATCTTCAAACAGACACAACAAAGAGAATCCCACAGTGATGGGGACAGCCCTCAGCCCGCGGTGATGATGGGGACAGTTCTCAGCAACAACAAAGTTGAAGAATTAGAGCCCAGGCCATGGTCCAGGCCCTGTTCCGTTCTCTTCCCGGTGCAGAACCTCTCTCTCCAGAATTGACCTTTTGTGTGTATACTAATTTCATGGCTATCCCGGGTCAGCCCCCAAAGCTGCGTGACTTAGAGGGAGGAGCCAGAGAGACTTCTGGGCTCTCCCAGTTGTCCTGTGCGAGGGCTTGCTCAGTGCTTCTCAGCCTTCCTGACAATGTGACCCTTGAATGCAGTTCCTCACGTTGTGATGACCCCAGCCATACAGCGATTGGTACTCCAGAACTGTAATCCCGCTACCGCTGTGAATCCTCCTGTGTTTCCCAATGGCCACAGGCGACCCCTGAGAAAGGGTTGCTCCACCTTGCCAAGGACTTGCGACCCACAGGTTGAGAACTGCTTTAGCTGCTTGTGGATTTATCAAGTTTATTCTGTGACATCCAGTCCGGAGGCAGCATGCAGGCTGGAAAACAGCCTGGGCTCTGAAGCAGATGAGCCTGGTCTCGAGGCCTGGCACCTTCCAGGCTCTCAGACTCCTCTGCTCTTCTGCAGCCTGGGATTCTGTCTGCTGGGGAGGCTCCGAACCTGCTTTTGTGAAATGGTGTGAGCGAGCGGAGGCATGGCCCTTGTTTGCCGTCTACAGCTGGGGAGTGGAACGGGAGACCAAGACTTGACCTGAGGGAGTTGGACCTGAGGGAAGAGCAGGGTGTGGGACAGTGGAGAAGCTGTCAGGCTGTCTCTCCTGATGGTACGGAGTTCAGAAGCAGGGGTGGGGGGGGGGGGGGGGGGGGTTCAGGCTTGAGCAGAGTCAGACTCCTAAGAGGATTCAGCAAAGAGGATCCGCACAATAACCGGAGAGTTGATAGTGGACAGGAGAGGCGACGCAGGACGTGAGGAGCAGATGCGGAGAGGCCAGGCCACAGAAGCAGTGGGCGTGGACTGTGGGAATCTCGCGAGAGTCGGCGGATGGAGAAGCTTCAGAACCCGCCATGCTGGACCAGCTGGACCTCAACAGCACAGGTTCAGGGCGGAGGGTAAGGGAACTCACTCTCAACATAGTTACTGTCTTGACATGAACTCAACTCTCCCAAGACTGGGCGGTAAGACCAGATTTCCTTAGGTTCACCTCTCAGGCCCGAAATGCTTTGTTTTGGTTTGTTTGTTTTGAGACAGGGTCTCATTCTGCAGCTCAGGCTGGCCTGGAAGTCTCCGGGATCTTCCTGCCTCAGCCTCCAGAGTCTGGGGATTACAGGCATGAGTCACGGTATCGTGAATTACCCTGGTGTTTTGGGGGTGAAGAATCTGAGACCTGGATGGCTTTCGGGGCTTCCCCAAGGTCACACAGCTGAGAAGTGGCAGACCTGAACTTAAACCTAAACCTTTGAGCTCCTCAGATCCGTGGGGCTTTCTGGTTGGATGTGGGCAGGCAGATCGCACAGCTAGGGACATCCAACAAAGTCTGACTTCAGATAACTGGCGAGTGCTACCCAGAATTCTGTCACCCCGAGCACACATTGAAATCATCCAGGAAGCTGTTGTTGATTCCCAGGCTCCAGTGTATCTCTGAAATCAGAATCCAGGGCTGGCCTGCCTCATTGAGTCTGAAAACTCCCAGATGACTCATGCAGCCGGACTGCCAATCACCAGCCAGGGCACCGCACACCAACAGGTCAGTGCCCACGATAGCGTGCCTTGGCGATCCGAGTGGCATGCCATCTGTGTGGTCCCCAGGCCCTTCTGCGCTCGCCTCGTTGGCAGGCGGCTCTCTCCCACCCTCTCCCCCTCTTTGCCATATTGCCTTCTGATTTGGTCCTCAGAGTCTTGACGATGACTAATTAATCCCCCAGAAGCCTCCAAGAAGACCTACTTGTGGGTGAGCCATCTGGAGCTCCTCTTTGCCGGACTTGGATTTGGGAAGAAGCAGAAGGAGAGTGGGGGATGACTCAGCTCTCAGATGAAACACAGCCGTTGGGGCTGCACAAGGAAGGCTGTGGTCTCAGGGGCTCTAACTTTCTTCCTGGCTTCCCAGTGGCTCCTCTTGCACACTCCTCCACACTTGCCCTGTGGATAGGAAGATGGAGACATGCCAGAGCTCTCTCGCGTGGCGTCTTTTATAAGTGGAGTGGTGAGGGTCACCAACTATTTATCAGACCCCTGCTCTACGACAGAGAGAGCAGCAGAGCTCTACCAAGCTGCTCTCTCACTGTCTCAGAGAAGGCAGATGAAGGGTGGCTACAGACGCTCTCAGCCGCTACCTTCTATGGAACAGGGCCTTCAGCCCACAGCTCCTCTTCCTCAAGGAGGTGGTGCCCTTTTGGGTAGCCCACAGCTCAAGACTCACAGATATCAAGTAGAGAATAGCAAACGCCTATCTCAAATGGGGTGTGTTTTATTTAGTATTGACCTGCAGGCAATGTTTGGTTGAGAAAGAGAGAGAGACAGAGACAGACAGACACACACACACACACAGAGAGAGAGAGAGAGAGAGAGAGAGAGAGAGAGAGAGAGAGAGAGAGAGAGAATAGAATTGAATAGGTGGGGAGGTGAGGATCTTAGGAGTAGATGAAGGAGGGGATACCTGATCAGAATATACTATATAAAAAATTCAAAACAAATTTAAAAAAAAAAACATGAAGGCAACAAAAAGCAGGGGCTGGTTAACAAACTGTAGGACAGGATTTGTGGGGGTGAGGGAGCTAGCGTATACAAAGCCCAATGTCCAAACTTCAGCCCAGCAAATAGGGGCTTTCCATAGGGACGTCAGGATTTCCCAGAGGCATTCTAAAACTGTAGTGCTGCTGGACCCACAATGTAGTTCCCACTGGAGGGATAGGCCCAAGAATTTGCATATCTAACAAGCTCCTGAGAGGGGAAGAGGGAGAATCCAGAGTTCAAAGTCATCCTCAGCCACATAGAGTTTGAGACTAGCTTGGCTGGTTGACACTGTCTCAAAAAAACAAAACAACAAAACAAAAAAAAAAATGGAGAGAGTAGAAGCCTGCTGGGGTGCTGTGCTTGGAACCCCAGCACTTAGGAGGCAGAGCAGGAGAACGGTGAACCGAGAACCAATCAGAGCCTTGTTCTACAAAACAATAAAGACCTTGTTCTACAAAACAATAAAGCCACGAGAACTGCTGAGCTCAGCTTTAAGAGGAAGGACAAGAAAACAAATGGTTACTTCTTTAGTTTCCTTTGCCAAGGACCTTCCTGTCACTGCTTAGCAGCCGTCTGGGGGCGCAACTGCTCCTTAGTAAGAAAAGTTAGAGTCTTGACTCCTGACTGCTGATGTCTACAACATGCCTTAAGTAATATCTAATAATAGCCTCTCTCTCTCTCTCTCTCTCTCTCTCTCTCTCTCTCTCTCTCTCACACACACACACACACACACACACACACACACACACACACACACCAGGGAGGGCTTGAGGAAGAAAGAGATAAGTGATTGTCACAAGCTTGGTTTTAGGTCTTAAAGTTCCAGTCACCCAGCGGGGACACCAGGGTCAGAAAACCCAATGCCGTGGCCTGTTTGTGTACATAAAGAAGGATCCAGCCACAGCCACTGTTTGAAGATGAATGGCAGCTTCCGAGCTCCTGGGACAGACTGTTCTAAAGAGCCAGAAATGTTTCCCATCTGGCCCCTTAGAGAAAGACGTGGCCAGAAACCATGGAATGGGGAATGGCACGGAGAGACGAGGGACAGGAAGTAGAAAAGCAGTTTTCCCATCCCTGAAGAAGGAGATGACTGACTGTCCTACCAGCTGGTGGGAACAAAGAGACCCGTCAGGGTACGACAAGATGGCGCTCCGCTTCTGCCCTAGTCTGCTCTCTGTTGCTGTAACAAACTCCATGACCACAAGCGGCTTGGTGAAGGAAAGGGTTTGCTGGGCTCATAGCTTACAGGCCATCATTAGGAACGGCAGGGTGAGCACGCGGCTGCCTACTGGCTCGCTCCCCATGGCCTGCTCAGCTTTCTTTCTTATAGAACCCAGGACCAGCTAGCTGCCCAGGGCTGGCACCTCCCACAGTGGGCTTAGCTTTCTCATGTCAGTCATCGGCCATGAAGATGTCCCATAGGTTGGCCAATCGGATGAGTGGTCCATCTTCCCAGTTAGGATTTCCTCTTCTGTGAGCACCTCTGTGTTGGCCAATCGGATGAGTGGTCCCTCTTCCCAGTTAGGGTCTCCTCTTCTGTGAGCACCTCTGTGTTGTCTAGTTGACAAAGCAGAACAACCCTGCCACCCCCATCCAACCAGCAGTCACCGTGGTGGGGGCAGGAGCAGAACTGAGTTCGGACACACAGAAACGTCCTGGGCCATCGAGGGGGACAGGTGGGAAAAGGTGCTTGCCGCTAACCCTAACTGCCTGGGTAAGCCAGGACTCACTGGTGGAAAGAAAGAATTGACTCCTGCAAGGTGTCCTCTGACCTTCACGTGTGCACCGTGCTACACACGCCTGCGTGAAGTAAACAAAACAAATAAATAAATACTAAAAAAATAAATTCCAGCTGATATTCACACACTGTGGAGTAAGTAGACTCTCCAGGACATCAGGCCCTTAAAATGTTTGTTTTTTATCCCCAAGGGGACACAGCCTCTGTACCGCTGTGGTGGGTGGGTTCGTTTTCATGCACTAGGCAGGCTTGGCACCCATTTCACAGATGCAAGCCCGACACGTGGGACTCTTGGCAAGCTAGTATGCGATATGTTCATATTTTAAGGAATAGATGAGGCTCTTGGCTGCAAGAGGAGGTGAGTGATTGCCAGGGTGCCTTCTTGAGACTCCCTCCTGCTGGACAGCGAGCATTTGAAAAGAAGACAGGTAACGACAATGGGCAGTGAGGCTTGAAAGATACACTGTTCTTGGTGTCTCTGAGCCCGGGTCTGGCTCATAGTCTTTTTCTTTAACAAGCCAATTTTTAATTTTTCCATTTCTTGCATTTGAAGCACCCTGAGACACATGGCCTTGGTCCTGAACCACTGTGCAATTGCAGCTGACCACTTTGCAGCTTTTCCCCTCTTGAGCGGCTTTGCTGAGCCCTCCCGGGCCCCTAGTTTCTTGCTGCTATCCTGGATTGATGTGGTGCTCACCATAAAGGATCTCAACCAACCTCACACGTACTGGCTCTTCACAACTGGATGCAAACACAAGGGTGAGCTGGACAATTGCACAAGGGTTTGGCAGCGTCACCCATCCCACGTGCAAGACCATTGTGGAAGAAGGCAGCCTTCACTCGTGAGACAGTGCGAGTGTCTGCCACACCTCCAGCAGCAGTGCCTTCCCCAGCCACGGAGGAGGTGACGGGGAAGCCAAATCTTGAACATAGAACTTCTAATTGCCTCAGAGCGAGTCAGTGGTGTCAGGATAAAGGCAGCACTGAGTCCTGTAGTGTGACATTGACACCACTAAGTCCTACAGTATTACAGGGCATGCTTCTCTTTCTCCAGATCTTCCAAGCTCCCTCCCGCCAAGTGTGCAGGGGTATTAGCTCTCACTGAGCCCTCTCTTCCCGCCTTCTCTCCTGGGCCTCACCCACTCAAACAGCCCTTGTAGCCTTCCAGTTGGTTGTTTCCTGGCCCTTTACAGTTCCATCCTTTGGGCACTGCCCTCTGACAGACCCTTGGGGTGGTCGAACAGCTGGTTCAGAGAAGTTGCCGGAGACCATCTGCATATCAGATATTTGCATTGTGATTCATAACAGTAGCAACGTTACAGTTATAAAGTCACAACGAAAATAACTTACGGTTGAGGTCACAACATGAGGAACTGTGT